GGGTCACGAAGAGTCGGACACGACTAAACAACGACAACAACTGATACTCTGGTACTCGTATCCTTTCCCTTCAGACATGATCATTTGCTTTGAGTCTGAAAAAAAACCCAGTCCAGAAAATACAGAAATGTTCCTTCTCAAAAGACAGATTCAGAAGGGTAGGGATTCAACCTGATTTGCGTAGAATTGTATCCTTCTGAAGGAAATAAATGTAATCTGTAATCCAGAACTACTTTTACACCTAGATAACCGGGTAGCAGTTATGGCCAGAGTGTCTTTAGCACACTAAGCATCATGACTCACTAGTTGTTGTTCCTGATGAGAGATATGGCCACAACATTTAAGAAACCTTGATGAAAATAAAACCTAAGGGTAAAATAAATATTGAAAGAATATACTTCAAAAACTGGGCAGAGGAAGATTAGCCTTAAAAATGGGTGTGAATAGTCAGGTTGGAAATGTATTATCAACTTTCCATATATGTAAACACAAGATTCCTTATCTCCATAGGGAGTCTGTCATTCTATAAATGAACTGTAAAAGTGAATGCAGAAGGAGCATTATAAAAACAAAACATGCAGGTCATGGTGCATATGCATTTTACTTCTGTTCTACGTTCAAAATTAACTTAGGAAATGAAAATTTACCTTTAAGTGATTGGCAGCGACTCTCTATAGAGATCTTAAAAGCTTGATATATCTAAATGAAACAACACAATGCATCAATTTTCTAGTATTCCCCCAATCAAAACATGAACGTGAGGAAATCAGTATTTATACCTGACCAAAATGTTGGAGCTGAACACTGTGAAAAAGCCCAGTTGAATTTAATACGATTTTGCTTGAAGATATCCCTGCAGAAATTGCCTTGTGTTAGAATTAGTTAGTAATCCCAGAGCAAAGATTAAAAGGGGATAGGGTGAGAGAAATCCTTTGGATGTAGCAAAATATTTTTGTTAGAGGACTGATGCTTTGCAAATATGCAAAATGAAATATGCAATGAGCCTACAGCAAAGTATTTTATGTGTCCACATGGCAAGTGTGTATTTTATGGGACTTACTATTAGATAAGTGTGCACTGGGTTGCAGCCTTGAAGTTACAATTACCGTGTTTCCCCGAAAACAAGAAAGGGTCTTATATTAATTTTTGCTCCAAAAATGCATTAGGGCTTATTTTCAGGGGGTGTTTTGCTTTTTTCAGGTACAACAATCTACATTTATTCAAATACAGTCACGTCATCTTCTTCTGGTTGCTGCACAATGGTGGAGGGCGGGGTTTCACTTAAGTAGGGATTATTCTTGGGGTAGGTCTTAAATTACGAGCATCCTGAAAAATCATATTAGGGCTTATTTTCACGTTAGGTCGTATTTTCGGGGAAACAGGGTAGTAAAAAAAAATATCAAAATCAGAATAGCCACATAAGTACTAATTTTTTAAATGCTGTGAATTAAACCTACCCAAAGAAAAAAGCTGAGTCACAGGAAGTTGCACTGTTCTTGAAGCTTCATTGAAGAACTCACAGTCCAAAGTAAACTGCAACGAAGTGGTAGAATGTAGTTTCTCAAATCAGCTCATAATTGTTAGCAGTGACATATATTCTTTTTTTCAGGAAGTAGAAATGCAAGGCAAAGAATTTTACTTTAATACCAGGAGACGCAGGTTCAAGAGACAAACTGGTTACCAACTACTCCGTTGCAGCTTGTAATCAAATAACTTTTACAAAAGTTAGTAAACACACAATAAGTGTACTAAATACTTCTAAGCCACTTTCAGATATTCCACAAATCACAATTTTGACAGTTAACTGAGGTCATACAGTATTACAAGTAATGTGCAGAAGGACCGCCTGTTCAAGCACATTATTTGGAATTAAAGGCTAAAATCCAGTACTAAACAGCAACTAGAGTAGGCCCACTTAATCAATGCAACTTAGAAGATGGCTACATGAGAGCTTATCACATTCTGTTGCCCTCCCCCCCAATTTCTGGAATGGTTGTGATTGCTCTAAAATTTATTTATTTATTTATTTGATTTATATCCTGCTCATCTGATCAAATTCACCACTCTGAGTACACAATATTAGAGTTCCCTGTTTGGTCTAGGGTTTGTGCCTAATGTTTATTGGAATGATTAGAATCGGTACAAACAAACATGGTTTTCTTGCTATGTAATTGCTTAGATTGCTCCACTGTGGGGTTCAGGGTGTGTTCTTCCTACATTTCAGTGGTGGTACGTAGGGGTGGGTGTGGTCTGGCTGTAACTGTAGATGGCAATCTCCATCCACTTTATATTTAAAGTGAAAAAAGTTTTTTGTTTTAATTTTTTTAAAAATATCTTTTCCACTATTACACTGCATCACTTAAGCACTATGGCACTTTCCAAAAATTAATCTTTCCTTGAGGGCAGGTTTCCATCTGCCCTCAAGGAGACACTAATTAGGCCCATTAGGAAGAAACCCAGTTTGGTGGCGGACGAAATTAGCAACTACAGGCCCGTCGTTAATGTTTCTTTCTTAAGCAAAGTGGTTGAGAGGGTGGTGGCCGACCAACTCCAGGCGCACTTGGACAAAACAGAGACCTTGGATCCATTTCAGTCGGGCTTCAGGCTGCGCCATGGTACAGAAACGGCATTGGTCGCCCTGTGTGATGACCTGTTGGGGGAGGCTGACAGGGGCAAAGTGTCCCTGCTGGTCTTCCTCGACATCTCAGCAGCCTTTGATACCATTGACCACGGTATCCTCCTGGGGAGGCTCTCCGAGCTGGG